CAGGAGGTTTCTTACCCTTCCTACCCTTCCCCTTGTTGCCGTTGAAGTGAGGTTGGGACTTGGGCTGTGCAGAAAACTGAGCAGCCGAAGACTTCGCCTTCTTCTTAGGAGGCACTGACCCCTGCGAGGCACTGGCCTTCTCAGCCTGAAACCTCTTCACCAGAAGTGCTGAGGCGACCGAGTCCTCCTTCATATCCTTCTGAACCCAAGGAAGAGCTCCCCTGAACAGGGTAGAGCCCTAGAAGGGGGCATTCAACAAGCGGAAACGGTAGGGTTACTGGACTGGGCGGAATTTCAGAACTGAAAACTGCCTAGCCAACACGGCATTGACGAGCAGAGAACCTGCAAGGCTGCCGTGTCCTGTATGTCGGCCGTTCTGTCTCGGATAACCGACACTCAGGCAAATCGGATACCCTGTATAGACAAACTGTCAGGAAGTCTATGTATGACAGAACTTGGATGGAGAGGTGCAACATTCTCTCCATCCTGTGGTGCTCTTTGGGATCGAGCACCACCTGGTCCACTGATTTGCCGGGCCAGGCAGCCAGCTGTCTCAACTCCAGCTGTGCTGGTTGAGAGGCCAGCTGCCCATCATGTGTGGCATAGTCGGAAGCTGAAGCCTCCGACAATTCACCAACACCGAGCTGCAGACCGACAAACCCGAGAGCACGGGTAGAGAAGGAGTCCTTCTCTAAAACCGGAGCCCGGGCCGTGGCCAGAACCGAAGACATGATATTGCCTTCTGGCAGAGACCGATCTGAGCGAACGGAAGCCCGAGGAGCCACCAGGGAACCCAGAAGGATGGTGGATTCAGGCGCCGACGATGCTGAGGCGGTGGGCAAACCTCCGCCCTGAGAATCCGGGAGATGTTGGCCCGGAGGACCCGCATCCCAGAAAGCACATGCTGAGCCTCAGCTTCAGCAGTCTCAGGGCCATCTTCCCCTTGTGAACCCTCTTGGCCCAGGAGAAAGATGAATGACATCGTCTTCCTCTGCCGAGCCCGCACCCTCGATGTCCATCTCCTCCTCAATAGAGACCGAAGTCCCCTTGGGAGGAACAGGGGCCGCCAGAGGAGCCATCTCCGCAGAGGGGAACTCCTCTTTATGGCATTTGGACGCAGCGCGACCAACAGCTGTAGCTGTAGGCTTGGGTCGGAGACCCGAAGCCGACCCCTGGGAACAGGAGACCGACGGGTCCGCGCTGGAGGCGGAAGTCCTTAAGGTCTGGCAAACCTTTATAGGACCGGCCAACAAGGCCCCCGAAGTAGCAGAACATTGGGGGGATTCCGCACTGCTATAACATCTCCTAGAGGAGAGACCAACCCCTATGGGTTCCACGAGTGAAGACCCATGGGGTAAAAACCCAAACCCCTGAGGGAATGGGAACGGTCCAGCGGGCCGGGAGTGACCCCAGAACTGGCCAAGATGGCCTGCCTGAGTCTGGGGCTGGACATCCTGTCCAAAGGACCAGGATGAACCGCCACTCCCACCAGGTGGAAACCCAGACATGTACAGGCTAAGCCCGTAACTGCTGAGTAACTGTTGGTACCCAAAACCATCCGCAGGTTGGCCTGGGCGACCCAGGAATAAGTGCCCGCAGGCACCCCTACTCCCTGAGCCCGGGGGAAAGGGAGACCGGAAACCGGACTCCTGGCCTGAAGCCCCAAACCCTTGGAGGAAAACCCCCTGGGAAACCCTGCACTGGGAAATCTGGATTGGGACGGAAGTCCCAGAGCCAGAAGCCTGTGAGGGTGGGAAAACAGACCCCGCGCTGACACCAGGATTAGTGAACTCAAGTGTCACTAATCCCCGTAGCCACAGACAATCCTGACAAAAAGTCTGTGGCCCCTGAACCTATACCCGAAGGCACAGTTCCGGAGTCAAAGCGGCCCCCACCAACGACGCCACCTGGCGTGCCGAGGTCCCTGAAGGAATCAGAGACCTCGACCGGAAGTCCCTTTCCGACGGTAACACCGCCGCCTATCGAGAGCTACCGGCCAATTCGACCCTTGACTGCGCCGAGTCAGGGTCGGGCTGCCCCCCCCCTACTCCAGGACGCACCTGGACAGGGGGAGCCACCCCCTGCTGAAGGGCGGAGCTCGGTGGAACGAGAGCACCCCCAGCAGGAACGCTCTGGTTCAGAACTTCAGGAGGGAGGTCTTAAAAAGCTTACTTCCCTTACCGGAAGAAGAGGACGAATCCCTCTTCCGGCGGAAAGTTAGCTGGAAAGGCATGGAAGCCTAAGCAGCAGACTCCATGTGCAAACAAAGTTCACATAGTGAGGTCTGGCTGTAATGTCGGCAAATGGGACAGGTATCATGGGGTTCCCATTATCTATAGAAATAGGAACATCCATGCGCTGACCCCCGACGTAAACCCGGCACCTTTATCCAGCATCGAAACAATAAAAAATTGTAACAATGAAAACAAGGATAAAAAGTTTTCTAACAATCAAAAAACTACGAACGAGATCATAAAACCTACCGTACGCAGCAAGATTGTACTGCAAAAAAAGAAAACGGTCGTACAAAACGGCCGACAAAGCAGCAAGAAAACAATTTCAACTTCACGAAAATCCGAGTGACGAGACAAGTAGTCACTCACTCGAACACGCGGAGTAAAAACACGGCCGGAAACGAAGTTCTCGAACAATCAAAAAACTACGAACGAGAGCACAAAGCCTACCGTACGCAGCAAGATTGCACTGCATAAATAAAACGGCCGTACAACACGGCCGACAAAGCAGCAAGAAAACAAATTCCAACTTCACGCAAATCCGAGCAACGAGACAAGTAGTCACGCACTCGAATACGTGGAGGAAAAAACGGCCGGAAATACGGTCAAAATAAACAAATGACAATACTTAATTTCACAATATAAGTTGGGAGATGGGTTTATAGACTACTAATAGAGTAACAATATACTCAAACGACAATGGCAGTACGAAGAGAAGGAGTAAGAAAAGCACTTAGCTCAGACACCTCCGCACTCGTCGGCAGCCATAAAGGTAAGAGGAAGGGAGATCACTCTGCGTTCCTGTCGTGATGGCTCATGGATCGTAGGGAGGGCGGGATTGTTTTTCTTTTGAATCTTTTGTTGTTGGGATACAAAGATGGGTGTAGGTACTGTATTTGCATACTAAAGTTATGGTAATTATTACTGAAATGAAATAGACAATCTGTACTATATATAATTAAACAACTTACCTGTAACCTGAAAACTACACCACTAATTAGACAATCTTTACTATATATAATTAAACAACTTACCTGTACACTACACCACTAATTAGACAATCTTTACTATATATAATTAAACAACTTACCTGTAAACTACACCACTAATTAGACAATCTTTACTATATATAATTAAACAACTTACCTGTAAACTACACCACTAATTAGACAATCTTTACTATATATAATTAAACAACTTACCTGTACACTACACCACTAATTAGACAATCTTTACTATATATAATTAAACAACTTACCTGTAACCTGTAAACTACACCACTAATTAGACAATCTTTACTATATATAATTAAACAACTTACCTGTAAACTACACCACTAATTAGACAATCTTTACTATATATAATTAAACAACTTACCTGTAACCTGTAAACTACACCACTAATTAGACCATCTTTACTATATATAATTAAACATCTCACCTGTAAACTACACCACTAATTAGACAATCTTTACTATATATAATTAAACAACTTATCTGTAACCTGTACACTACACCACTAATTAGACAATCTTTACTATATATAATTAAACAACTTACCTGTACACTACACCACTAATTAGACAATCTTTACTATATATAATTAAACAACTTACCTGTAAACTACACCACTAATTAGACAATCTTTACTATATATAATTAAACAACTTACCTGTACACTACACCACTAATTAGACAATCTTTACTATATATAATTAAACAACTTACCTGTAACCTGTACACTACACCACTAATTAGACAATCTTTACTATATATAATTAAACAACTTACCTGTAAACTACACCACTAATTAGACAATCTTTACTATATATAATTAAACAACTTACCTGTAACCTGTACACTACACCACTAATTAGACAATCTTTACTATATATAATTAAACAACTTACCTGTAACCTGTACTACACCACTAATTAGACAATCTTTACTATATATAATTAAACAACTTACCTGTAAACACTACACCACTAATTAGACAATCTTTACTATATATAATTAAACAACTTACCTGTAAACTACACCACTAATTAGACAATCTTTACTATATATAATTAAACAACTTACCTGTAAACTACACCACTAATTAGACAATCTTTACTATATATAATTAAACAACTTACCTGTAACCTGTAAACTACACCACTAATTAGACAATCTTTACTATATATAATTAAACAACTTACCTGTAAACTACACCACTAATTAGACCATCTTTACTATATATAATTAAACAACTTACCTGTAACCAGTACACTACACCACTAATTAGACAATCTTTACTATATATAATTAAACAACTTACCTGTACACTACACCACTAATTAGACAATCTTTACTATATATAATTAAACAACTTACCTGTACACTACACCACTAATTAGACAATCTTTAATATATATAATTAAACAACTTACCTGTAAACTACACCACTAATTAGACAATCTTTACTATATATAATTAAACAACTTACCTGTACACTACACCACTAATTAGACCATCTTTACTATATATATTTAAACAACTTACCTGTACACTACATCACTAATTAGACAATCTTTAATATATATAATTAAACAACTTACCTGTAAACTACACCACTAATTAGACAATCTTTACTATATATAATTAAACAACTTACCTGTAAACTACACCACTAATTAGACCATCTTTACTATATATAATTAAACAACTTACCTGTAAACTACACCACTAATTAGACCATCTTCACTATATATAATTAAACAACCTACCGGTAACCCGTGAAGTGAGCTTGGATGAAAAGTTTTGTTGAGTATAAATCAATCTTCTTATTCATAATCTGAATCACTGCGCCGATAGCTGGATTGTACTAAAACAACAATGAAGAATTCTTGTCACAGAGAGATACCACCATCCTTAATGTGAGGTCATGCTACTGCAGGTTCTTGTTTCTACCTTCATCTACACTAGTCAAGACTTCTGATTGGAGACCTTTCTCATATTATGATGTGTATTGATGTTTCTACTAATGTACTTGTTACATTTTGATTACGCAATGTCATTATTGTAAACAGACATTTCAATTAACGTATGTGTAGGATAATCAAGTGACTACTGTGCAAGTTTGTATAATGATTAACAAGGTAGGAACAAGCAGCAGGACCCCTTTGCAACCCTCTCTAAACAACTTCAACAAGCTTTTAGCTTAGTTTAAATCCTCCAAAAAAACACCCTTAGATGTTTTAATCCTCCACAAAACACCCTTATATGTTTTAATCCACCACAAAACACCCTTAGACGTTTTAATCCTCCACAAAACACCTTCAGATGTTTTAATCCTCCACAAGACACCCTTTGATATTTTGATCCTCCACAAAACACCCTTAGATGTTTTAATCCTCCACAAGACACCCTTTGATATTTTAATCCTCCACAAAACACCCTTAGATGTTTTAATCCTCCACAAAACACCGATAGATGTTTTAATCCTCCACAAAACACCCTTAGATGTTTTAATCCTCCACAAAACACCTTTAGATGTTTTAATCCTCCACAAGACACCCTTTGATATTTTAATTCTCCACAAGACACCTTAAGATGTTTAAATCCAACACAAAACACCTTTAGGTGTTTTAATCCTCCACCAAACACACTCAGATGTTTTGATCCTCCACAAGACACATTCAGATGTTGTAATCTCTACAAGACACATTCAGATGTTGTAATCTCTACAAGACAGGCTCTGATGTTATAATCACCACAAGACACGCTCTGATGTTATAATCACCACAAGACACACTCAGGTGTTATAATCATCACTAGACACGCTCTGATGTTATAATCTCCACAAGACACACTCAGGTGTTATAATCATCACTAGACACACTCTGATGTTATAATCTCCACAAGACACACTCAGGTGTTATAATCTATTTAAGACACAAGGAGATACTTATGTGACTATAAGGTCTCTATTTCCCATTATCAGACAGTTAAGTATATCTTCTTACCGAATCATCATGGTACTTTGAGAAAAACTCCACTACCAGAGACTGTCGTTGTTCCATCCAGCCAAACAAGAGAAAAGGACAGAAAAAAAAGGTGTCCATGATGCGCAGAAGCATTGACCTAAAGTGCAAAATTGCCTAAAAGAAAAGAAAAAATAAAGAAAAAAAAATTAGTCCAGTTTTCAATAATAATCTAATCAGGATTGTCTTTTGTTTTTTTTTTGATAAATGTGAACCAATTAAATCAAAGCGATATGAAAATTTTCATTCCATTTACTTGTAATGACCTTAATTGACTTTACACCAAGGACAACAAAAGTGGTATGTTTTTGAATTGAGCCATATATCCTGTATGTCAATGGCCAAAATTCAGGCCCCATGGCCTTTTGGGTATTAAAGAAAAGTAATTTTAAGATTTCATTACATTTCACTGCTGTGACCTTATTACTAATTAAATTATGTCAAGGTCATTCTTTTTTTTTAATAAACTTGACAGCCCTTCAATCCCGCAAACTATGAGCCAAACAACAAGACCTTGACTCTCTTGGTGATCCAACTTATTCAGGAGAAGTTGTTCCCATTTGAGCACATTTCACACCTTGAAAGTAGGTCAAGTAGAAACTTTATAGCACTTTATTGCAGCACGATAATCAAATTGTGAGCCATGGACCATGTCCTAATGGTGCGTTTGTGTAATGGGCTATTTCTAGTAGAGTAAGGTTGTTTGTTGCTTCATATCTAGCAGTCTGGTTACAGGCTGGATATCTCAAGCATTTCATTCTATTTCTTTGATTTTTACTGTTGGGCTGAAATTCTAACCCCCGACTACCCCAATATAATCAGTATTAGTCATAAAATATAATTCCCCTTCAAACCACAATGCTAAAATTCCACAGTGGTCATCATATAAAGAATCGGGATGGCAGGGTGTGCATGAGTGTATATTTGTTAAGAACTATTGGTTTCTTTCCTGGTCAGAGTGGAGAAGAAGATGTTAGAACGATGTAACAACTTACAAATCTGGAGACGGAGGTGACTGTCTTTCCTGCATGATTATATAAATCCAACTTTACCATAAACATTCCTGAAAAAAAAGTAAACCTGGCATCAACAGTCATATTGTAACAGAGGTCATTTTTCATCTCAATGTCTGCTAGGAGTCCAACCCCGGATCCCTGGCTTAATAGTCTGACGCTCAACCAATCGAGCTTAAGAGAAGTTCTCTCTAGCCGAGTGGTATATTGCGGCTAGTATTTTACCAGGATTACATACTCCCCCTCCAGGAAATAACTTGTCCTCAAGTTTCCAGGGGTTACAGCGATGCTGGTAGGGCATGGCTAAGTACTATTTCCGGGTCCCTACATGGGCGCCAATGTAACAGAGGTCATTTTTCATCTCAATGCCTCCGCTAGGAATTGAACCCGGGACCCCTGGCTCACTAGTCTGACGCTCAACCAATTGAGCTAAAGAGAAGTTCTCTCTAGCCAAGTGGTATATTGCGGCTAGTATTTTACCAGGGTTACAATATTATTAAACACTCTACCCAGTTGAACCTTCTTCTTCTACACAATGAGATCACTCCTAAATTTGAATGAATAACAATATACAATTCAGAAAATCAGAGTGCTACTATGTGAGTGTATATCCACACAATCTTCATAAGTTATGTAATATTACTGAAACCATCAATCTTGGAGGGGGTAGGTGGTGGGTTGGCGTCAGCCAGGATCAATATGGGCATACCATCTAGCCGTCATCCTTTGCTCATAATTTTAACAAGTTTGAAATATTTCCAATGAAAATGAAACAAATTATGCTCAAATATTAATTTTCCTATATTTATAGTAAATTGTACCACCTCCCAATGGACAGGTTCATCTAGGGCCAGGGAATGTTTCTGCAAATTTTCATGGAATTCGGTTCATGGGTTTTTGAGGAGAAGTTGAAAATGCTAAAAGTTTACAGACACATGACAAAGGTGATCGCACAAGGTCACCAAGAGACTTTGTCTTAGGTGACCTAACAAGAGACTTTGTCTTAGGTGACCTAACAAGTGTATATGGATAAGATACTTTAATTACTTCAGCAGAACTGGACTATGTTGACTACAGAATCTCTCTGGAGTTTGAACATTCTAATCCAGTTTTGCCTATTACATATTTTCCTTCTTCGTTACAACTTATCTCAATAGTTAGATTTTTTCATGCCTTTTGCATTACCGTAGTTAATTTATAAACTTGACTTTCTATAACATCACTTCCACCTTACAGGGATTATGTTAGAAATGACCCAAGTTTTGCTAACCTAGATTTTGATTCTGTGGCGATTCTGGCAGCTCTATTTTCAGGAGTATGCTGTATGTCTGTCCTCTGGCAAACACCTGTATAAAACACAACCACATGCTTGTCAACCTCAAATTTTCTCATGGTAGAGAAATATCTAGTAAGTTTTCAGTACAATGATTTATAAGGTAGGAGTGTACAGTGCTGAAGTTGAATTCAACAGAAGTCAAACATGAATATGGTCTATACTTAGTTCTGGAATTTTGGAAAACCAGAGAAATGAGGTGAAGACAGAGAGGACTATAAACATCCAATTAAATTCTGGGTAAAATACATTTGTTTTTTTTTTAAGATATAACAAAAGTGATCATAATTTTCAATGAATATACAAAATGATAGTATGGTGATCTTTTTAGGGTACTGTCACCTGTTCAAGATTTTGATTGAAATGGGTAGAGTACTGGTAAGCACTGCATCAGTATAACTGCATGGAGAATCACGCTCCTTTAAGACTTCTATGGCTCTTCATTTGTATACATTTTATTTGAGATTTTTTAAAAATAAATCAACAATAATAATTACCTCATCCTCTCCTTCCTTTAGCAATGACAGATTGGCAGTCGGATAGGAACACATCCCAACGCCATCATCACATACACTAGAAACAGAACAAAGCAGTCCTCACACCAGAAACAGGACAAGGCAGTCCTTACACCAGAGACAGGACAAAGCAGTCCTTACACCAGAAACAGAACAAAGCAATCCTGACACCAGAAACATGACAAAACAGTCCTTACACCAGAAACAGGACAAAGCAATCCTTACACCAGAAACAGGACAAAACAATCCTGACACCAGAAACAGGACAAAGCAGTCCTTACACCAGAAACAGGACAAAACAGTCCTTACACCAGAAACAGGACAAAGCAATCCTTACACCAGAAACAGGACAAAGCAGTCCTGACACCAGAAACAGGACAAAACGATCCTTACACCTGAAACAGGATAAAATTATCCTTACACCTGAAACAGGACAAAATGATCCTTACACCAGAAAAAGGACAAAGCAGTCATTACACCAGAAACAGGACAAAGCAGTCCTTACACCAGAAACAGGACAAAACGATCCTTACACCTGAAACAGGACAAAGCAGTCCTTACATCATAATCAGGACAAATCAATCCTGACACCAGAAACAGGACAAATCAATCCTGACACCAGAAACAGGACAAAGCAGTCCTTACACCAGAAACAGGACAAAGCAATCCTGACACCAGAAACAGGACAAAACAGTCCTTACACCAGAAACAGGACAAAGCAGTCCTGACACCAGAAACAGGACAAAGCAGTCCTGACACCAGAAACAGGACAAAGCAATCCTGACACCAGAAACAGGACAAAACAATCCTTACACCAGAAACAGGACAAAGCAGTCCTTACATCAGAAACAGGACAAAGCAATCCTTACACCAGAAACAGGACAAAACAGTCCTTACACCAGAAACAGGACAAAGCAGTCCTTACACCAGAAACAGGACAAAGCAATCCTGACACCAGAAACAGGACAAAACAGTCCTTACACCAGAAACAGGACAAAACAGTCCTGACACCAGAAACAGGACAAAGCAATCCTGACACCAGAAACAGGACAAAACAATCCTTACACCAGAAACAGGACAAAGCAATCCTGACACCAGAAACAGGTCAAAGCAATCCTGACACCAGAAACAGGACAAAACAGTCCTTACACCAGAAACAGGACAAAACAGTCCTTACACCAGAAACAGGACAAAGCAGTCCTTACATCAGAAACAGGACAAAGCAATCCTTACACCAGAAACAGGACAAAACAGTCCTTACACCAGAAACAGGACAAAGCAGTCCTTACACCAGAAACAGGACAAAGCAGTCCTGACACCAGAAACAGGACAAAGCAATCAACATTTATAATAAAGATATCTATGTACAGTCAAGACTGAAAAATTTCAATAATTATTTGTATTTTTTGCTCTCTGTCATTTACAAAAGGCTGTCAATTCTGGCCATTTTTGTGGGGCCAGGACCATATTGAGGACTCATAAAAAATTGTGGGCCAAAGATCTTATCTATTACTCATCAATTTTAACATAAAATGTCCTAAGCGGTGTGTAAATGACCTGAGAACAATGGACACCATCACAAAATCATTACCTTTTTTTGGCAAATGAATGACTTAATGTGGGCATATGAAACAGAACAAACAGAACAGTATTCCAGTGTCAGTATAATGTGACTGTGTGGGGCGTCATGCTTCAGTGTCAGTATAATGTGACTGTGTGGGGCGTCATGCTTCAGTGTCAGTATAATGTGACTGTGTGGGCCGTCATGCTACAGTGTCAGTGTAACAGAGGTCATTATTTATTTCAGACCCCTGGCTTACTAGTCTGATGCTCAACCAATCGAGCTAAAGAGAAGTTCTCTCTAGCCGAGTGACATATTGCGCCCAGTATTTTACCAGGGTTACATACTCCATCTCCAGGAAATAACTTGTCCTCGAGTTTCCAGGGGTTACATGATGCTGGTAGGGCATGGCTAAGTACTATTCCCGGGTCCCTACATGGGCGCCAATGTAACAGAGGTCATTTTTCATCTCAATGCCTCCGCTAGGAATCGAACCCGGGACCCCTGGCGTACTAGTCTGATGCTCAACCAATCGAGCTAAAGTGAAGGTATATTGCTGCTAGTATTTTACCAGGGTTACATACTTCACCTCCAAGAAATAACTCATCCTCAAGTTTCCAGGGGTTACAGCGATAGCGATGCTGGTGGGGCATGGCTAAGTACTATTCCTTGGTCCCTACATGGGCACGAATGTAACAGAAGTCATTATTATTTCAATGCCTCCGCTAGGAATCAAACCCTGGACATTTGGCATATTAGTCTGACGCTCAACCAATCAAGCTAAAGAAAAGTTCTCTCTAGCCGAATGGTATATTGCGGCTAGTATTTTACCAGGGTTATAATGTGATTGTGTAAACCATCATGCTATAGTGTCAGTATAATGTGAATGTCAACAGATTCATGGGTCCCATTTCAATTTTTCTTGTCAACTTTGTTGAGAGCTAAAAATACACACTGAAACTTGTTTGTCGAAGCATATTTATCAAAATCCGGCTCATTATCCAAAGAAATGACTGGAAAAAATCATTACATTAGTTTCAAATCAATAAAATACATTACATAATTATAACATCATCATGACATCTGTTTTCAGAACTTTAAAAAATAAATCAGCATTTTCGGAAATTGTCAAACCAAACTTAGCAGCAAAATGATTTGGATTTTCAATGCAGAAATAGCGCTACTAAAAAAATGTTCATGGGACTGATGGTATGACGGACCAAGGACGTAAAGCGATTTGAAGAACCTACTTATTTTTCCAATATGATTTTAACTAATTACCTAATTACCTAAACTCAAGATGCACAGGTTCGACCCGAGAAAATGCTGGCACGTAGGTGTAATAGAAAGTACCATACATAAAGATTGCGAGCCATAATATGACAACGAAAACGGTAAATATGTATAAAATTGTTGTCACTTTGTACTTTACATAGTCAAAATGCCTATGTAAACCACTTTTAATCCTATCGATATAACTACGGACTCTCCCCAGCATCACGTTGACACCCGGGTCAGTCCAATTGGGATTCCAATAATGAAACTGCCTCTGTTTGTATTAGGTTTAGTTTCGTAGTTCACTTTCATTATTGTTTAATTGCACAGTTATGCATTTTTACATCTTTTTATGTTGCAAAGTAGTTAATATTGATACACTTTGTTGTAATTATTGTTAATCAAATTATTCTAATGTCTCAACTGAATATACGAAAATGCGGCTATACTAAATGTGAAGTCCGCCATATTCAGTTGCAACTATTGTGAAAGAAATTTTGGCGTGATAGTTTGCACTCAAGAGCAAAATAGCGGCATGTTGTGACATAAAGTACTGTATGACAAGCCATTTGTCAACGAGGTAAGCGTATGATTCACATGTGACATTTGAATAAATGGGATTTTGAGAAGATATATTTTATAAAAAAAGTGATAGGCGTAGTAGCGTGTTGTTGAGACAAAGTAATTATCATTCATTCGTTAAATGTAATATGGTAACGAGGAAGAGCAACGAGAAATACCATGTACACGCCAACGATCGAATTGATGACGGTATGCTCTTTCAACGAAAGCCTTCCACTTAGAATAAACTGGTGGATACTAGGACGAACGTATACTGACAGCTCCATTAATATGCCATCGTCACTGCCTTTTAGTACGAGGATGCACTATAAATACAACGTATCCTCTCATTAAAGAGGATTATAATAAGTCGGAATCATTTGTGTATAGGCAAGTTATACAACGCTTTCCGAGAGTAACCACACAAAATCGCATATTCACATTAAACTGACCAAGACGTGAATGTGTATTACCATCATTATCTAGACAAAAAAGTATATGTTGTCCAATATGTTAACCACACAATAAGTCATACACTTCAAAGTGAAATCCGATGTACATCCACAGCAAAATCGTGCAGAGGTAAGTCCATGTACTTGCCTGTTTTTTTCTGACAAAACGTTTGATAGATATCAACAATCTTCCGATGTAAAGGCAACATATTTTGTCAATTTCATCAGACAAAATGAAGCAGGAAATCAAATGTGCTTTTTCTTGTTTTGTTTAATTTTTTCAACAAGTCTTTTGAAACATGCATTTCAAACAATATATATGTTTGTTAAATTTATTGGAATTAAATAATACATCGAATAAAATTTTATTTCCATATGAAAGCTTGAAAAGATATTGTGTCAATCAAGATACTTTTTATACAATAATGGGATTGGAAGTTCTCATTCAGTTCTGCAATAAAAGTTCCAGCAACCAGCTTTACACAGTGATCAAATATGCATTTTGTATATATTAACTGCATGGAATTTCTACATTAGACTTGCTATTAAAAAAGTAGATTTAGTACTGTGTTCCAATGTTAACAGATGTTTACATGGCAAGAAATGTGACAGAGGTATTGTTACCACTAACTGTCCATTAGCAGCTTACATAATGCTGACTCTAAACATTTTCAAAGTTTAGATTTTGATAACATTCAGCATTTTTACACAATTAAAGTGTTCAACAAGATAAAAAGAGTATTTCTTTTTACAAATCCTAATAAGATATGTGTGTCTTTGACAAAGAGTTTTCTAAGTTTTCAACATATATCCAGAACTCAGTTCAGTAATTGACATATAATTATTTAGTTGCATTCAAAGTTAGTGAAAGCATAAAGACAGGTGAGTGTTCTGTCTAATGTCAACACAGGCTAATTGTAGATTGATAGTATTTTGACTATTTAAGTTTGGAGCACAGTTTAAAAAGGACTATAAATGTGAAAAAGTATTACTGAATTTTACTTGATATCATCTGTCATCCCAGGTACCTTGCTAGGTATATCACACATATTACTTTCATTATTACAGTGGGTGAAAGTCAAAACATTTATTTGACTTTGTTTTTAAGCAATCATGGCAGATGACAACACTGACCAGAAGCACTACCCTGGTATTACATCGCCAATCAGTTTGGACAAACCCAAGCCTCTGGACTTCAAGTTGTCAGCCAAGCTGGAAGAGAGCATGCGACCATATGGAGTGTTTGAAAGTGATGAGCAGTTAGCACATAGGTATACCATTGAAACGCTGACGTTTAATTTCAAGGCCATTTGTGGTACAGTTTAATTGCCCCTTGTTGTAGGATATTTTTACTGGTACTTGTTTATTTTTACTTTGGGTTTTATGTCCTTGTAATAGCTGAGTTTATACAAAAACAGAGTTCCAAATGTTTTTGCAGTTCAAATGTGCTTTTTAGTGCTATTACCCAGATACGACATCATCTGACACAGTAGCACAATACCCTACCAGGCTATTAGTACAACCTTGTAACTTGCTATCGCTGAAATATGGGTCAAATCAGAACAGGATAGAAGTTTTGCTCAGTCCATAGTTCTTCATTAACGAAATTTTCTTCCAAGAAAAGTATAATGTTTTGCATTTTCTCTTTTATTTTGTGTTTTGTAGAATGGATGTTTTACATAAGATAAACAGTATTGTAAGAGAATGGATCAAAGAAGTTAGCAGACAGAAGGTAAATATTTCAAGTTATTTGTGTTGTGATTGAGGTATTCTTACCCCAGCCCTTCATGATTAATCAATGCCAAAGTATGATTGTATATACCAAGGTAAGTATTATGTGTATATATCTGTACATCTATCAACAGACTTGGGTACCAACTATCAATAAGTTAACACAAGCCATCATTTACAGTAATGTTGTTGATCTGAAGGTTCCAGATTGAAGTTACTTGTACCTGAGTTATTTTTACAATTTTCATCCTATAAATATTTACATTGCGATTCAGGTGTTCATCACGTAATTATACAATCTGTCACTATCATTACCAGGGTTTTCCATAATTTCGTTAGTAGTAGGCTGTGTAGTAAAAGTAGGAGGCTGGCCTGCCGTGTACGTGTAGTCGTGTACGGAACATCATTATGGAACTGGATTGGTGTAGGTGGCCAAATGATCAAAGTAGCCAGTCAAATTGGCCGGCGACTGGCTCTTATGGAAAACCCTGCATTACATTGAGCATTTTTTCTCTGTCTATCATTTCAAATTTCATACTTCCTTTTCTGTGGTTGTGTTGGTTGTGTAACTGTTCGGCAGTTGATGAGACTGTAAAAGTCATTGAGCTGTTTGTTGCAGACTAATTGATTATTTCTTTAGAACTAAGTGAATGTACCAATTTCCACAGAGCAACATTCCTGAAAGCAAGATAGACACCTTTGGTGGGAAAGTTTGCACATTTGGATCATATCGACTTGGAGTACACACAAAAGGTCAGTATTGTAGAGTGGAAAACATGATCTTGACGACATCTTCAAACCATAGCATTTGGTGCCAAAAGTAGGAGAAACCGTCCTATACACTGTATCCTACTGACATTGAATATTACATATGTTTGGTGTCAGCCGTCTTGGAATTAGAATATTTGTTCCTCTTTCTGAATATTATACAATCCCTGTATCCATTGTCCCCAAAAATGTTGTAGGGATCAAGTATTGGAATTTTTATTTGCATTTACTGTTGGTTTGTGATTGAGGCTACTTAACACAAAAGGTACATTAAAAGTAAATTGGACATTTTAATCAGCCAGTCTCTCTTACTATTAAATTCAACTACAGATTGTCAGAAATGTATCAATTTGGAGACACACAAAGGTTTCCAGCAATGCTAATTTCCCATAGAGGTCGACTTGAAGTTTTTTTCACCCTTCAAGACCACTCACCAATATATTGATTCATGCCATCAAAGTCGGTTCACTTGGCTTTACCTTTCATCCAAATTAATCGATGACGCACTTGGCTAATTAACTAATTACATAATTAAATTACTAAACTATAAATGCCAATTGTCACAAAACAGATAAAAAATGAATTATTTCAACGAAAAAGGAAAGTTTGTACCATAAAGTAAATCCCAAAATACTACAACAGTGAGTATATCGCCAATATTATTGATTTTTTTTTAAGATTTTGTGAGGAAAACGTCAAAGTTTTGTAAACATGACATTTTGAATGTCTTCCATATTCAGTCCATTGAAAATTATTCAGCATATGAATAGCTTTATCTCTGGCCCTAGCCCTGAGCTAAGACCAAAACTTCAGCATTTGTGCAAAGCGTTGATTTTTGGCTTTGATGTGCGTCACCCCAATGACTTGTTGAAGGATAGTGGACATAGGAGACCATCCTGATACACTCCAAACCTTCATGTACACAGGTGCCATTCCTACTATATAACAACCCCTTAGCTAGCATACAAGTAATGTTCTTTTGACATTACTTTCTCCATTTTCTACTAAGATGGATACTTTAAACACCTAAAACAGTACAGTTCTCACAATGAGAGGTAGATGTGTAGGTGTGGGTTGTACTTATAAAATCAAGTGTAAACATTTTATTTCTGGTCTCTTTACATCACTTAAATTCAAAACAATTTTTCCCTTTTGGTTGTTTGTCCTTAAAAAAATACATAGCAATATTGTCAATCAATTTCAATTACTTTGCACAAAACTCCAAATTACTATTTTTGGGCAATTTATTTGATACTGTTTGATGATGTTTTTTTAGTACATAATCAAAAATAGCACATACAAGCTGTTGTATTTGCTTCTTAGGCCATTTTGAAACCTCAACTTTTTCATGATGTTTCCTTGTTTGTCAATGCTACAAATCTAACAAAGATTATCAGTTAAATTTCATACTCTCTTTTTGAAGTTTACCCTTTAATTTATACATATGAAAAATATAACAGTGAAAGTTCCAGACAAATCCTTCTGCTAATGATTTAAAAACAAAACATATAATGTAGATATAATAAACATATTATGTGTGTCAGTATACGGTCCAACCAAAGTGTAACATTTAAGTGTATGTCTTACTTATTGCCTTAAACAAAACTCCTTATATATCTGTTTCATGCAGGTGGTGATATTGATACCCTTTGTGTGGCACCCAGACACGTAGATAGATCCGACTTCTTTTCCTCATTTTATGAACTACTGAAACAACAGGAGGAGGTGAAGGACTTACGCGTAAGTATGTAAGGTCAGAGATGCTCTATTAGTTTGAATTGGAAGGGAAAAAAACCCATCTGATTTGCACAAATGCAAGAAGAGTCCTGCATTAAGATACTGAGTGCCCATATCTATCATTTATCACACGTTTGTCAATCTGTCCGTTTCTGTTTTCTGGAGAGATGGTAAGATTTTTATGAAATCTGCTCAGTAAATTTCATACTCATTTGTATTTTCTGCAAGTTGTGCTAATACTATAAAAGATTGACTGATTGCTGTCATGGTAAATGTGATAAAATTGTTTGTGTGGCTTTTTGCTGAACATTTGACTTGTGAGATATTTGAATAACGGGATATTGAATGAAATCTTTGACAAGGCTTTTACCCCATAATCTGTAGAGAAAGATCCTTTTCTGAAAGAGATCCTGTTTCTATGAATTTGGTCTTTCCACTTTTAATTGCACAGAAGTTAGATAATTGGAGCAGTGTTTCTTTTGATTTTAATTTTCTTCACTCATCATCTAGATGTGCAGATTTTAAGCCACTAAGAATATTGGTCATGATGAGTCCTGGCAAATTATCTTACACTAATCATATAAATTTGTATTGGAAGGTATGATCTACTTGTGTATAGTACAATAATTTACCTTAGATGTACATTTGGGTTCTTAAGTGTTGATGCAATGGAAAAGCATTATAGCTACAAGGATTTTAATGAAAATAATTTGCTATAATAAATATATTCCTGAAGGTCTGGTTATGTGATTAGCTATTAGTAAATATCACACACAATGCATATTGTATGTATAGTGGCTTCTTGTTTATATATAGCCTCTTCCTGTCATTGACCCTCATTGTGTGTAATATTCTGTATACTTACAGGCAGTGGAAGAAGCCTATGTACCAGTGATAAAGATGGTGTTTGATGGAATTGAAGTAAGAATTGAATCCAAGAACAGTCCAGAAGGCTCTTCCTAGAACACTGAATTATTTTGTGAGCCAGAAAGAAGATCTGAGAGTGTCAGGCTATCAGTATCTTCTGAGAGTGGTTTCTGAAGGTTTTACTCTGAAACTCTGTATTTTGTGTCCAGGACTAGGAACAGATATCCTGTTGATGGACATTTTTATAAACCAATAAAAAATTTGATGTAACATGTGGTTATGGTGTGGTAATGTGTGTCCACTGTTCATTGTGAACTTTTACTATGTGGGGCATTTGCCAGGTACTGGGTGTAGGTCAGTGGTTTTTCCCTGGGAACTTTCCTCTTCCATCCAAACCTGGCATGTCCTTAAATGACCCTGGCTGTTAATAAAACATAAAGCAACAATAAATTAAACCAAGTTGAAAGCTTTGGAACATTGTAGACTTTATTGACAGTTTGTCATGTTTTATTCAGTGGCCTATTTATTTGACAAGTCTTCATTGAGTTATTGGTTTTCTTTTCAGCAAATTTTGACTTTGCAAGAGATCCTTTTTTTCAGTTTTCATCCATTCTATCTTAAACTTGGGGAAGGATTTAGGATACTGATGTAATCAAGTGTTTTTTTTTTTTCTATGGCATTTTTGATTGTAACGTTTTCATAGTTTCTACATTTGTATGCAGTGATATATTTCTTTGTGGCATGGAATGGAATGTGTATTGTTATCATACGGCGATGTTTGGTTTGAAAGGATTTTTTGTTTTTGAAGCTGTAATGTCTTAAGGAAGCTTTGTCGGTAACCTTTAAACTGTCTTTGATTTCAGCTTGATATGTTGTTTGCACGCCTAGCTTTGCCACAGATACCAGATGATATTGACTTGAGAGATGAAGCATTACTCAAAAACTTATCAGAAAAATGTGTTCGAAGTCTTAATGGTAAGTTACTGTCCAGTTAATAAAACACTTATATCAATCAAAGGATTGAATAACAAAATGTTGTCAAACTGATATATGATGAAACCTCCTGATGAAAACAACCTGGACACTGGAACTTAACTGATTACATGCATTACTGTATTGACTTTTATGAAGCTGTATTCTTCCTTGAGACAGACAAACACATGCCTCATCGTTTTTGTGTCATGTTGTCATTGCAATATAAACTTCATATTAATATCAAAACATCTGTAAAATTTCTCAAATAGTTTGTGAATGGATCCGTTTTTATTGCTTCCAAATAAGTTGAAACACTTTCCATTAACCAAACAACTAAATTTTTATGAGAGGTCTGTATAAATCTCATTTGAATATGAAGAGCTTTCAAAAGTAAGTCTCAAGTCTTTTGACCTGTCAATATGTATTGCACAATAGAACATTTGTCTTATGAAGGTGACCATGTAGTCATCGAAACATCACATTCAAATTGATGGAACAGGTAATAAGATCAGACACTGGTCAATTAATCAAATAATGTTGTTTACGTGGTGCCATCTGTCAGCAAGATTGATAATCCATGTCGGAATCCATGGTCACAGTGACCGTATCAATTAATTACTGATCATAAGGACAGTGAAGATTGGATGTCATGTAGAATAACAAAGGTGTCGTATTACTAAAGCGACCAATACAAAGATATACAGAGAAAAATGCAGGACTGAAAATAACTGCTAGTGATGAAACCATCGGTAATTTCAAGGTTGGCCATAGGTAAGGTTTCACTGTACTTTCAAATAGCTTGAAAATTTCATGTAAGTCAAGATATTGTTTATTAAAAAACATGTTGTATTGAAGATTTTATCTTTTTGTTAATACTACAGGTTGTCGTGTGACTGACGAGATACTACATCTGGTACCTAACAAGGAAAGCTTCAGGATGACTCTACGGGCAGTCAAGTTATGGGCAAAAAGTTAGTGGAAATCAGTAGACCTCCCAAAAATTAACAAATTCCTCTCATTTCTCCAAGCTGAATAGAATTTTCTGTATTTGTATGACAAGACAATACAAATCAAGTTCTGTTTTGTTATGGTCATTTTATTTTTATTAACACTGGCCTGAATTAATTGGTAATAATTGACAAATCAGTTCGACCACATTTTTTATAAACACATTTTTGATTGAATGACAGTTAAATAACATACGATAATTAAAACTATTTATGTACATTAGTAGAAAGAATAACTAAAGGAATTTATCGTTCTAAACACTTAAGAGCAAGAATGCAAAATATGATGTTCATGACATGTTAAAAATCTTACGAAATCGCAAAATTCAGTAACATATGCCAATTACCAATTAGCTTAACCTAAACATGTCTCGCACAGCCATCTTGGATAAAACATTGATCATGTGATCTCTGTTACTGAAATTAGAATATTTCGTTATGCATTTGCCTGTATTAAATCTATAAAGATTGCTTCAATACTTGACATAATCAACAAAAAAGCAATATATTACACTTTTGAAACTACAAGAATAATCCCTTTTTCTCTGAAAGATAACTAAGATTCAGTCAGAAATGCTGACGTGTTGAAGGACACAGCACAACCATAACACTATGTTCATCATGGTTTATATGTTTAAAATTTATGTGAAAATAAAGGCTGGGTACTTAATTTCAATTTAATAGATTATATTCACTGCCACGAAAATAAATCGGTCTTTGGACTTGGAATTTTAATTGCTGGGTTGAATTTCGTTAATCTCTTCCCCAAATACCATTTCTTAAATGTAAGACACAAATCTGATTGTGTTTCAGTAGGTTCGTATCACTTTAAAAAAAGAATAAAAACATGTCTGCTTCTGTGATGCATTAAAGCATCATTTGGCCCAGGCCTGGTGATACATTAATATGTCATTCGGCTCAGGCCTGGTGATGTATTAAAGCATCATTCAGCCCAGGCCTGGTGATACATTAATACGTCATACGGCCCAGGCCTGGTGATACATTAATATGTCATTCGGCCCAGGCCTGGTGATGCATTAAAACATCATTCGGCCCAGGCCTGGTGATGTATTAAAACATCATTCAGCCCAGGCCCGGTGATGTATTAAAGTATCATACGGCCCAGGCCTGGTGATGTATTAAAGCATCATTCAGCCCAGGCCTGGTGATACTTTATTACGTCATACGGCCCAGGCCTGGTGATGTATTAAAGCATCATTCAGCCCAGGCCTGGTGATACTTTAATACGTCATACGGCCCAGGCCTGGTGATGTATTAAAGCATCATTCGGTCCAGGCCTGGTGATACATTAATGCATCATCAAGAATGAAAGGGTTAACTTAACTTTGGTTGTCAGCCTTGGTCAACTAACACCAGACAGAAGCTTAAAAGTTGAATTACTCATCTTAAAGAGCCAGTTATATTCAAAAGCTACATACATCTCTTCTTTTTTTTTTCTTTTGTTGGGGACAGTGTTGATACACCTACCATTATTAAAACCTAACCTCACTTAGTAATCAGAGTCTGATTCCACAGTAGATGTCCTCCGTATATTTTTTAAGTTTGGTCTGAAGGGTCACTAAGAAAACAAAATGTCCGACTTTCATTTAATTAGATTAATATTGCCAATTTGCAATTTTTTTTATGAAAGATGTCATGATTTGTGTAGACAAATCTGTCATTTTATAACCTTAGAGCTAAATTTTACAAATCTTTGATAATATATGAGTGAGCTACAGGTTTTTTTAATGTAATGTGTATGAAGAATAGTTCTCTGAGCGGGAGGTATCATTAGCACTATTCTGTCAATGACAGGGAAATGGAGGGATTGAAATACCAATTTTAATTGATTTGAAGTGCCTTACATTTGTTGTGTTTTTATTGCAGAGAGAGGTATCTATTCCAATGTGCTGGGATTCCTGGGTGGAGTATCTTGGGCCATGCTGGTGGCAAGAGTTTGTCAGCTTTACCCATATGCTGCCCCAGCTACACTACTACACAAGTTCTTCATGGTCTTCTACAAATGGTCAGTGTTTTCATAATCATGACTGTCAAATCAATCTATTAGAAACATGATAAGTGGATGAAAAGATCATTCTGGAAGCTCTTGTCTAGTGAGTCTAGTAGGAGGGTGATCTAACAGTTTTACTCAATTTTCACTTTTTGTCTTCTACATTTAGCATTGAACTGCTATTAGTTGGCATTCATGGGCATGTGATTGCCAAAAGGATGAAGATAAACTCAATGAAATTCATATCCCATGAATGCCAACTGAAAGCAGTTCAATACTTGCATTTAATGTTTTCAATTAGAGAAAACAACCTCATTTTGTTTACATTACTTGTAAAATCCCTACGCTGTTGGCAGTTCATTAGTCATATAAACATATTGACTTTGGTAAGGTTATATCATAGCCCTGCTATACAATGGTAAACAACCACTCAAAACTTTCTGCCACTTAGTCAAATATTCATAGCTGATTAGTGTTCTGAATCAGGATACCATCAGGATTCCATTGTAATACTCTTCAGTTAAGATCAAAACTGAAACATGGTCGGTAAAAAATGTATTGATAATTGTTGTAAGATATTTTGTTCAAAATATGAAATATCTGGAATCCTGGATATTTTACTAGGCAGCCATCTTTAATTCTGACAGGTGAGGTATTTTGATGCTTCTTACCTGTCGCTGTGTTTCCTAGGAAATTGAGAGACAGACTGGTCTGTGCTGTTGTGGTCGTGTCTTTGGGCAAGACACTTTAATCCAATTGCTGTGTTAGGTACAAAACAGACTTCTGTATATGTTCAGTAAAGTAGACACCCTTTACAACAAAGACACCAAACTTACAGATTAATCTACAAATAAATTATCTTTTATATTGTAGGGACTGGCCACAGCCAATTTTACTAAAACCTCTTCAGACTGACAATCGGTTGAGCTTTCCTGTTTGGGATCCGAGGGTAAGAAATAATGCTCCTTTTATTTATGGTTTATGATAAAACCATTCTCTATTGAAATAACATCAAAGATAATGCTTTGAGATGCTGTTGCTCTTTTGTAATCAGCTTGTCTGTCTCTCCGTTCTTGCTTTCGGCATTATAATTGGTGTACAGTAAAACTCTCTTGTGTTAAACATGCTTCAGTCAAATACATCAGATGAGTCAACTGTTTTGTTCGCATTTGTTGTCTGATTCTCATCAAATTTGGTATGTGACTTATATAATCACAAAACCTTGCAGAGGTTTAATAATTAGTGAATTTTCAATATTTGGAATGTTTTCTGAATTCTCAAAAATTACCATTCTGTTGATTTCCACATGATAGCTGGTGTATTTGTGTTCTGATGCTCTCCAGATTTCCTATATTGCTTTATTTTGCATGGTTCCACTAATATTTGGAATACGTGAAAAGTAATAGGACTGCTGAAAATTGACCATTTTTATGCCATAGCGCGGCATCCGTCGTTCGTCCTGTGTCCGTCACCTTTTTAGGTCACCTGAGCCAAAGGCTCATGGCGACCTATTGCCATCATGATTTGTCTGTTGTCGTCCGTCGTGCGTCGTTAACTTTTCACATATTCGACTTCTTCTCAAGAACCACTGAATGGATTTTGACCAAACTTGGCACAAAGCATCCCCATGGGAAGCCGCTTCAAGTTTGCGGAGAAAAAGGGCGTGGCCCCAGGAGGGGGAAAAATGGGGTAAAATATTTATGGTCCTTATGGCAAGGTCTACAAAGTTTGCGAATGAAAAAAAAATCGGGGGCACTCAAAAATTCAACTTTGACCGATTTCAACCAAATTTGGAAGAAAGCATCTCTTAGTGAAGGACATATGAAATAATGTTGAAAAAGTTGATTATGTCCCCTTTGGGGCCCATAAGGGGTGTAAAAGGGGCCATATGTAAAAACCTTCTTTAAATGACTTCCTCTCAAGAACCACTGGGTGAATCATGTTCAAACTTGGTACAGATGTTTAACACATGGTCCTGCACAAGTGTTGTTACATTTTTGCAACATTTTAAATCCCCAGATTATTGACATATATTCCTCAGGTGACCGTTAAGGCCCCTTAGGCCTCTTGTCATATAAACAACTTCTTCTGAAATACCGAAAGGCATAGAGTTATCATATTTGGCTGGAAGGTTCCTCTGATAAAGCCCAACAAAGTTTGCAAAAAGAAATGACCTTGACACATATTCAAGGTCACAGAGGTCAAATGTGTTAAAACCTTTAAACAACTTCTTCCAAAATACTGGAAGTCCTAGAATGATTGTATTTGGCTGGAATGTTCCTTTAATGAAGCTCAACAAAGTTTGCAAAGAGAAATGACCTTGACCCTTATTCAAGTTTTTTTTTATGAGTTTGAAGTCCAGACTGAGCTTGACTATACCAATATTTTCCTTCATTATCTGTGTTTCTGTATTTATTCTTTTTGACTTTTCAGGTCAATCCTTCAGATCGGTTTCATCTAATGCCTATCATTACGCCAGCTTATCCTCAACAGAATTCCACCTTTAACGTGTCTTTAAGTACTCGCACCATCATGATGGAAGAGTTCAAAAGAGGTAATGTGTCACAATCTAGTATACAGTGCTGAGCGTTACTTCTAACTTAACAGAATAAAACATGATATTAAGTGGAATATGATTAATGGGCTCTCAAAGGTCTTCCTGAATAAAAGGCAGATTTTTATCAGACATGGTGGTAACACAGCAGAAAGCATTATATCGCTGCACTGTTAAGACCTGTGGAATTCCTGTAATCAGTAATATCATGAACTTTGTTATTGTGCTAATTGGTTTCTCCTACATAAATTCAGATTACTGTGTTATTTAGTGAATGGATTAATGTGTTATGATTAGGTACTTTGACATCAGGGGATGACATAGAAATTACATTAATAACTTGTGACATCACAATGACTATAATAGTTGCAGAACAAAGATTCTAAAATTGACATGGACATTTTCTATCATTTTACTGCCATTTTCTGTCATTTTACTGAAGAAATCATTCATGTGATGAAAAATTATCTTTAATTTTTTTTCCAATTCATACAAGATTGGTGAAAATACTTGTATGTTTTGTTTTCATTTTAGCTTGAAAATTCTTGTTTCATGAATCTCATGTGAAATGTAAACTCCTGTAAGGTCTTGTATGTATGTATGATGCTGCTTCAAAATTAAATTTCCGTTTTGTCTTCGTAGGTCTCGATGTGGTCACCAGAATATATGAGGTGAAAGATGATTGGGGGAAACTGTTTGAACCCAGTACCTTTTTCCTGAAATATAAGTAAGTAGATAAAAGGTAGATCATAACAGATTGGTAATTTGTTAATTCTTGAAGTTGTATACTGTGTAGTGGTGTAGTATCAGGATGATTTAAGGGATAAAGATAAAGGATGTCTGCAGTGTCCTTCCTACATTTGATTTCTAATAAGCAATATCCTTTATTGGTCCTAACCAGGATCTTATCATCGTTCCAACAAGGAGGTCAAGACTGCCATCATAGAAACTTTAAGTTAGGTGTTATATCTGTAGGAAGCATTGATTTTCCTGCCAAGTTAGAAACTCTCACATGTTCCTAGTGAAGATGAGAGGGTATAAACACATTAAGCTTGTCCAAAGGTAAGCTGACGCAAACATGTTAGCCTAATTATTAATCATGGTCGTTTAGATATTAGAAAATTGATGCAGAGATACCAGTGAGGGATAATGTTATTACTATGTATATCAAGATATCCATGTGTTCCTAGTGAGACAAGGTGATACATTCTGCATACATATGCTTGTTGATATAATTTTATTAAATCATTGTAACATATCAGAGTTGTTTGGAAAAAGCTCATAATACATTCCTTTTGTTTTATTGCAATAACATTTGTTGTCCATTGAATTGTTGTTTAGGATTTTTCTTTGAAATGTTGTTGATACTATATACAAATGAAAACAACTTGAGTGTTCAGTAGATATACAGGTGATGTGTGAAGGTCAGATTACTGTGAGTAACTATGAAGGTTAAACTTTTTTTCAGACACTACATTGTGTTGATTGTATCTGCAGAAGAGGAAACCTCCTACTTAGAATGGTTTGTATCGTTTACTGTTATTGTCACATTAATAAATGGAGATATGTGTCTTTTACTGTTATTGTCACATTATTAAGTAGAGATATGTGTTTTTTACTGTTATTGTCACATTATTAAGTGGAGATATGTGTCTTTTACTGTTATTGTCACAGTATTAAGTGGAGATATGTGTCTTTTACTGTTATTGTCACATTATTAATTGGAGATGTGTATCTTTTACTGTTATTGTCACATTATTAAGTGGAGATATGTGTCTTTTACTGTTATTGTCACAGTATTAAGTGGAGATATGTATCTTTTACTGTTATTGTCACATTATTAAGTGGAGATATGTGTCTTTTACTGTTATTGTCACATTATTAAGTGGAGATATGTATCTTTTACTATTATTGTCACATTATTAAGTGGAGATATGTATCTTTTACTGTTATTATCACAGTATTAAGTGGAGATATGTATCTTTTACTGTTATTGTCACAGTATTAAGTGGAGATATGTATCTTTTACTGTTATTGTCACAGTATTAAATAGAGATATGTATCTTGTACTGTTATTGTCACAGTATTAAGTGGAGATATGTGTCTTTTACTGTTATTGTCACATTATTAAGTGGAGATATGTGTCTTTTACTGTTATTGTCACAGTATTAAGTGGAGATATGTGTCTTTTACTGTTATTGTCACAGTATTAAGTGGAGATATGTATCTTTTACTGTTATTGTCACATTATTAAGTGGAGATATGTGTCTTTTACTGTTATTGTCACAGTATTAAGTGGAGATATGTGTCTTTTACTGTTATTGTCACAGTATTAAGTGGAGATATGTATCTTTTACTGTTATTGTCACATTATTAAGTGGAGATATGTATCTTTTACTGTTATTGTCGCAGTATTAAGTGGAGATATGTATCTTTTACTGTTATTGTCACATTATTAAGTGGAGATATGTGTCTTTTACTGTTTTTGTAACATTATTAAGTGGACTTTGGTTTATGGCATGTTGTATGTCTTTTAACATTTTTGTTATCACACTGAGGTTCCACATGATCCGATGTTGTGAATATATTAACTTACCAACACCAAAACACTGATCAGCTTATGCTTTTGACATTTTGCTCTAACTGGCTTTAGTCTAAAACATTTCTGGTTAAAAAATGAAGTTCCTTCTGTGCATGATCTAACTTAAATAAAATTTGGTATCTTAAGTGTATTGTGACAATAGGAACACAGCTTTCATAAGCATTACAGCTAGGGTAGTTTGGAGGACAAATGTGTATTATTTCAATGGGTAATTCTTATATCCATTATTTCTTTAAAAGGTATGATATGTAGGTTAACATGACATTTCAATCACCACTAAAACTTTCATTTCCTTGTGGACAACATAACTTCTAAATAGCGGATTCTGGTAAGTCAAAAGCTAGATTATGGCTGATTTTTACCCAGTTTGGTTTTAAGATGTACAATAAAACCTGGAACACTGTTGTAAGCAACATTTAAACATATGTTGTCATTAATGTGACAGGGGAACACAGGTGTTCTAGGTGTTTAAGCATAAGCTGCTGTGATTTTAACAATCGCAGGGTTCGGCGATATAATTAAGAAGTTGTTTTATTTGACGTTTCATTTGACAGTCCAATAGAATTAACGAAGATTTTACTATGACAAAAGGCCTCACAAGGATCTTACTTTCTCTCTAGCAAGGACTCACCAAGAAGATATTATTGAAGCGATTCCAAATCCTCTTGGGTTAATATTGATGTGTAATACAGAAGTAGTTAAGTTCCTGTATATGTTTGTTGACAGTGTAATTCCTAAATACCAGGTATGTCTGTTTATTACCATAATTCGTTTGGTGGCAGTTTAATTCCTGTAAATGTTGGTTGACAATGACTATGAATTTTTATAGGCATGGTTATGTGGAGTCCAAGATTCGACTTTTAGTTGGCAATCTGGAACGGAATCCATTCATCAAAATAGCACATGTAATGCCTGAGTCTCTTGGACCCCTCACTGAAAGGTAAGTGTGACAGAAATTCTCTGGCTTTTCCATGCTCCTCTTATCCCCTAATTAGGAAATACGGTTGTTTCTGTGATGCATCAAAAAAAAATATATATTAATTTTTCCCTTTTTACCCCACAGCCCGAAAGGGTGTGGGGTATTGCGATCACGCACTTCGTCTGTCCACAATGGCATACGGCTTATTATCTCAAAAACTACACAATTTTCTCTGGGGATGTTGGGCCTATGGACCTACACAACCCTATTGTTTTTTCGTCACCGCGCGATATCCAATATGGGGGTAACAGGTGCCATCTTGAATTTGCATTCCACTTATTATCTCAAGACCGACAACACCGGTGGTAACCATTTTTACTGAGGATGTTGGGCCTATTGACCTTTACAACTCTATTGTTTTTGTTATTGTCACAGTATTAAGTGGAGATATGTGTCTTTTACTGTTATTGTCACATTATTAAGTGGAGATATGTGTCTTTTACTGCTGTTGTCACAGTATTAAGTGGAGATATGTATCTTTTACTGTTATTGTCACATTATTAAGTGGAGATATGTGTCTTTTACTGTTATTGTCACATTATTAAGTGGAGATATGTATCTTTTACTGTTATTATCACAGTATTAAGTGGAGATATATATCTTTTACTGTTATTGTCACAGTATTAAGTGGAGATATGTATTTCGTCGCCGCCCGATATCCAATATGGCGGTTATGGGCACCATCTTGAATTTGCATTCAGAATTGATGGTATGCATATATTAACACCGGCTTACTATCATCAATGTCACATTTTCTTTTTCATGACACCCTATAACTTGTATATTCAATATTGCTTATCTCAGGTGACGGTCAAGGTTGCAAGGCCTATTGTATTTATTTGAAATGGGTCTTTTGTCTTTGTACATAATCATGTAAAAGGATATCTCTCTTTTTCAGTGATGGCCAGTATATGTGTAAATGGTTTATTGGACTGACTTTTAATGAGGTGAAAAATCAAAACATTGATCTCACATATGATATCCAGCCATTCACTGCAACAGGTAGGTAAAATATTTACACTTTAATAAGGTTAATATCTTATGAGATTTATATTTTCAAGTCATCAGACAAGATTAAAGTGACTTTGGTGACAATCCTTGATTTTGGAGAGCCGGGGTGTGAAAATGGGGAAATTGATGGGTTTGCTTTCTAAAAGGCTCCTGCAGATTTTCACAAAAAAGTTGGTTGGAAACATTCTTAGAGGAAGGTGATCATTTGACTTATCAGGTGACCTTTAGCCATCATGCTTCGTCAGCCATTGTCCTTTGTACATAAACTTTTTCTTTAAAGCCCTGTTCCTTTTTTATACCAAAAATCATTTTTAAGCAAATTGGAATGATGCATCATTGGGTAAGGGTCATCATTTCTTAAATTCATAATTTTGATTCGATCCCTAGGGGTGAAAGGATGAGGCCCCAAAACGGGAGATACTAAAAATAGATTTAAAACCCTACTCCTCCTTTCTGTCTTGGTGGATTTTAACCAGCTTTGGCCTCATTCATCAGTTAGGGTAGGCAATTATTTCTTAAATTCTGATATTTGATTCGACCCTTAGGGACTTGGGGGTTGGGCCACAAAAGGGACAATGCTTGAATGGATTTCAACAAAATTTGGTGTGAAACATCATCGAGAGTAGCGAATGATTTCTTAAATACAGGATGTTGATTTGACCCCTAGGAACCTGGGGATGGGCGGGGCCCCAAATGGGAAAGTTAGGCAATATTTTGCTTCAAAGCACTACTCTTTCTTAATGCTTGAATGGATTTTTTAAAAAATTGGTGTGAAACATCGTTGAGATTAGAGAATCATTTCTTAAATTGAGAAACTTGATTTGACCCCTAGGGACCTGGAGGTGGGCCCCAAAACGAGAAGTTAGACAAGATTCTGCTTCAAAATGCCACTTTTTCCTAATGCTTGAATGGATTTCAACCAAATTAATTCTGAAACATCACGGAGAGTGGGAAATCATTTCTTAAATTCAGAAAGTTGATCTGACCCCAAGTTAATAGGAATGACCTTGATCTGCTTGAAAGGTCACAGGAATAAAATATATTGAAATATTTAGATGACTTCTTCTCAATAAGCAAAAGGCCAAGGATGATGTTATTACGCCTGTAGCATGCTTGGATGAAGGGCTACCAACTTTGTTAATATGAATGACAATGACCCATTTTCAAGGTCACAGGTATCAAATGTGTTGAAATGCTTAAGCAACTTCTTTTCAATAACCAAAAGGCCCAGTGTGCTGATATTGGGCCTGTAGCTTGCTTTTTCAACAAGCAATACATAATGGCAATTGTGTAGTGCATGTATAAAGAAAATGTCTTGATGAACCAACAATGTCTTCTATGTAAGCTTTAGTGTAGTTGAGCAATTTATTTCAGGACTATTTTGCCTTTTTCATATATAAGTCAGATGACCATTAAGGCCCATGGGCCTCTTGTTTGTATAAATGAAGTGTTTGTATCTCTAAAGTTGGAGGGATTTGGTTCATATGATGAGTTATGATTTTAACAACTACTTCCTTGACCACTGGGAGATTTTAATCAAATTTGGTCAGAAACCTAATTTGGGAATGGCAGTTATATTTATGAGTGAGGTATTATCTTGAACATTGTAATGCATCTAGATAATATATTACATCTTGTTTGTAGTGCATAGACAGGCAGTCCATATCAAGTTGATGAAACAAGACATGAAGATTGAAATCAAGCACGTGAAACGGTAGGTACAACTTTTCCAATACATGGCTGGGTGATCGAGTATCACTTATATACTCAACATATCCAATACATGGCTGGGTGATCCAGTGTCACTTATATACTCAACATCTCCAATACATGGCTGGGTGATCCAGTGTCACTTATATACTCAACATCTCCAATACATGGCTGGGTGATCCAGTGTCACTTATATACTCAACATCTCCAATACATGGCTGGGTGATCGAGTATATACAACATTATATACATGGCTGGGTGATCCAGTGTCAACATCTCCAATACATGGCTGGGTGATCCAGTGTCACTTATATACTCAACATCTCCAATACATGGCTGGGTGATCCAGTGTCACTTATATATAACATCTCCAATACATGGCTGGGTGATCAGTGTCATTATATACCAACATCTCCACATGGCTGGGTGATCCAGTGTCACTTATATACTCAACATCTCCAATACATGGCTGGGTGATCCAGTGTCACTTATATACTCAACATCTCCAATACATGGCTGGGTGATCCAGTGTCACTTATATACTCAACATCTCCAATACATGGCTGGGTGATCCAGTGTCACTTATATACTCAACATCTCCAATACATGGCTGGGTGATCCAGTGTCACTTATATACTCAACATCTCCAATACATGGCTAGGTGATCAAGTGTCACTTATATACTCAACATTTTAAATAAAAGGCTAGGTAGGATGGCATGGTAGTACTTACATGTAATATGGAAGTCCATGGTCAAGGTCAATTTCAAGGGCCATGTGATACAACATTAATTAAGATGGTTGACTTGTGTGTTTCAGAAAGCAGCTCGTTCAATATGTACCCACAGACTTGCTACAGAGAGGGAAATCATTGGAACCCAGGAAGAAGGTGAGAGGAAACATCTTCACATTGTTACATGTTACATTTTCACGAATGAAACGTTTAAAAATAAGTTGGTGTTATTTTTCACTGCAGTGATTTTCTTTTGATATTGTCAATGGTGCAGTACAGAATTCAATCAAAATATCCTGCCATAGATACAGAATTCAGTCACACTACACTGCTATAGGTACGGATTTCAAAATATCCTGATATAGGTAAAAATTTCAGTCACACTACACTGCTATAGGTACGGATTTCGATCACAATATCCTGCAATAGGTACAGATTTCAGTCAAAATATCCTGCAATAGGTACAGATTTCAGTCACACTACACTGCAATAGGTAAAGTTTTCAGTCACACTACACTGAAATAGGTACAGATTTCAGACACACTACACTACAATAGGTACAGATTTCAGGCACACTACACTGCAATAGGTAAAGATTTCAGTCACACTACACTGAAATAGGTACAGATTTCAGTCAAAATATCCTGCAATAGGTACAGATTTCAGTCACACTACACTGCAATAGGTAAAGATTTCAGTCACACTACACTGAAATAGGTACAGATTTCAGTCACACTACACTGCATTAGGTACAGATTTCAGGCACACTACACTGAAATAGGTACAGATTTCAGTCACACTACACTGAAATAGGTACAGATTTCAGTCAAAATATCCTGCAATAGGTACAGATTTCAGTCACACTACACTGCAATAGGTAAAGATTTCAGTCACACTACACTGAAATAGGTACAGATTTCAGTCACACTACACTGCATTAGGTACAGATTTCAGGCACACTACACTGAAATAGGTACAGATTTCAGTCACACTACACTGAAATAGGTACAGATTTCAGTCACACTACACTGCATTAGGTACAGATTTCAGGCACACTACACTGAAATAGGTACAGATTTCAGACACACTACACTGCAATAGGTACAGATTTCAGTTACGCTTGACTGGACATGATCAGTTATTATCTTTCTAATCACACTCATGCACCAAAATGATTATCATGACTATATGTCTTGAACCGTCATATTTGTCAATTTGACCAAACCCTTAAGATCATATGCCATTCCATACTGAAGTACTGCTGCCTTTACTCCTTTATTTCAACACACATCATACACAGCATCTGTCAGTGTCCTCGACACTTTGATTCCGGATGAGTCAGAGTTGTTCCGCTCTGTCGATCTAGAAAACGATTTTAAAAAAATCTGTTGTGCATCTTTAAGCAATTTGTGCATTGGCAAAAATTAAGGCCCATAGTTAAAAGAATTTTGCTTTTGCATGGCAGAAATCTGAAATTCTTGATGTACACAGATGTGGTTTTTTTATCGTTTTTACAGGATAACCGTTCCAGTATAGAGAGCAGTGGTAAGCCTAATGACCAATCTCAGGGCCTCACTCATAGTAAGTCAGATACGGAACTCCTCCGGTCAGATACCATCACAGTGGACATTCAGGATGACTCGAGTCGAGATTCAAGGAGTGCCACACCAACACAGGACAGTCACAGCCCCAGTAAAGATACCACAAATGGGGAGGTTAGTAGTAAGACATTAACACGTAGGTTCTGTTAATTGCCTATAAATAAAATAGTATTACAAATATATAATAAATAAGATACATTAAGGTAAGATCCATGTGTGTGTGTAAGATATGACAGGTATGGGTGTCTTTTGTCTTTGGTGCCAGCCCTGTAACTGTGTAAGATATGATAGGTATATGGGTGTCTTTTGTCTTTGGTCCCAGCCCCGTAACTGTGTAAGATATGATAGGTATATGGGTGTCTTTTGTCTTTGGTGCCAGCCCTGTAACTGTGTAAGATATGATAGGTATATGGGTGTCTTTTGTCTTTGGTGCCAACCCTGTAACTGTGTAAGATATGATAGGTATATGGGTGTCTTTTGTCTTTGGTCCCAGTCCCGTAACCGAAACTTCAGTACCATCACCTAGTTATCTGAAAATTGTCCACACCCTCTAAAGACTGAAAAAAACACTGATAATTGCTACTGACTTGAGGCTTCAGCAGTACAGCAAATTTACAATGATTTCCTTTTTTTTATACTGGACCACCATTGGCCATGACAAGTAAGCTAGCCATAATAGTGTGTGAGGGACAAGGATCAGGATCAAGTGTGACTTCATTAGTAATTAGGGCACTTAATTACTGTGACCTACTTTTCAACAATGGCATATTTTTTGGTCATTTTTTCTAATTAAGGTTTTGAAATATATCATCAAATGACATTTAAGAGAAAAAAACTAAAAAAAAAATATTTTAGTTTGATAATTATTGCAATAATTATATATTTGATCCCTCACTCGTCCCCCTATAACAACTGAACAGCCTTGAGCTGACCTTAGATTAATGTCATGTCATTACCGCCTGACCTCAAGTTTTTAATAGACAAAAAATAAAAAGTATTCGTCATGGCCACCAGAAGGCCCAAACTGGCACTCCTCCTTTCTTGTCTAGAGCACTCCTCCTTTCTTGTCTAGAGCATGCCTTTGCTTTCATTTAAGCTAGGATACTGAAGCTTTGTAAATGCATTAATCACAGGAAGACAATGTGCAGTGCACCAATTTTAGGGCCCACAACCCCTTAATTACAGAGTTATTGCTCTTTGTTAAATTTTGATATCAGAACATAATCTGGCTGTAATTCAAACTGTGATAATTAAACCTAGTGAATACATTGGTCATATTAATTAATCAACTTAGGTTATTAATGTTTTATCCTTGAAGCAGTAGAGATTCCCCACCTATAATCAAGTTTGGGGTTTATAGGATTCTCTATTTCTGTCCATCTGTCTATAACTGTCTGTCTGTCTATACAAGCTTGCAAGCCTAGCTCCTCCTAAATTACTGATCAGGTATATCATGTCCCCACTACAAACTGGCGAGTAGGTATTTATTAACTTGGCCCTGCCTATTATTCTCTCCTTTATTCCAACATCATTTGGTTGCCATTCATTTCCTCTTTGACAATTAAAGATAGTAAATTGAAACAAGGTATACAGTTCTATAATGAAAACATGCAGGTAAGATTTCAGTTTGGTTGCTGTCACCTTATTTTTACAATAGGTAAGGTCCTTGAAGTAAGAAAATTTTCGGGAAATTCTCAGTAAGAGAAAATTTGTGGTTTTGCACACGAAGATCAAACATCAAGTTATGTGTGTTTGCAATGTGTATTTTACAGGTGGAGCCAGCATCTCCACCCACAGACACCATCATGCAGAGTCCAGTTTGTATCTCCAAAAAGGAGAGCAGTAATCAAGACAGCCCCATAAAGCTATCCACTTCCGAAGAAGACTCACAGGTATATATCAGTCACCGTCCATCTTAAAGGAATTGTAGTGTAAGTGTGACAGGAACTGTAGTGTCTCTGTTACAGGAATTGTAGTGTCTCTGTTACAGGAATGGTAGTGTCTCTGTGACAGGAACTGTAGTGTCAGTGTGACAGGAACTGTAGTGTCTCTGTTACAGGAACTGTAGTGTCTCTGTTACAGGAATTGTAGTGTCTCTGTGACAGGAACTGTGGTGTCTCTGTTACAGGAACTGTAGTGTCAGTGTGACAGGAACTGTAGTGTCTCTGTTACAGGAATTGTAGTGTCTCTGTTACAGGAATTGTAGTGTCTCTGTTACAGGAATTGTAGTGTCTCTGTTACAGGAACTGTAGTGTCTCTGTTACAGGAATTGTAGTGTCTCTGTTACAGGAATTGTAGTGTCTGTGTGACAGGAACTGTAGTGTCTCTGTTACAGGAACTGTAGTGTCCTTTTTACAGGAATTGTAGTGTCGGTCTTACAGGAATTGTAGTGTCGCTGAGACAGGAACTGTGGTGTGTATTTTACAAGAATTTAGTGTCAGTCTGACAGGAACTGTAGTGTCAGTCTGACAGGAATTGTAGTGTCAGTCTGACAGGAACTGTGGTGTCAGTCTGACAGGAATTGTAGTGTCTCTGTAGGGTATCCTGTGATAAAATTGTGTGCAAGACATCCATGATAGGAGTCCATGTGACATTAAATCTGGAAATTGTAATCTGCACTTCCAAGTTACAGACCATTTGTTTCCTACTGGTGGGTGTTATATTTTGAGTTTGTTAACAAAGGTATTAGAGTTATACACTTACCAATCTAAAGAATGTTTCATATTAGCTCCAATGGGTCACACATAACTGGTAACACTAATAATTTCATATCCTTTGTTTTGTAGAATGTGCTTGGATCTCCAATGTATGTTGACTCTTTCGGACAGAGTCCCAGCCGAAAACGTGAAGGTTCTCCAGTACGGCCAGACAGCCCAGTCAAACGATCCAAGTCTATAGAAGAGTCACAAGTAAGTCAGGTATAGAAATATTAACAATGTATCCCTAGGTTTTTTGCCTGGTTTAACAGATCATTATCAGAAATACTTGATTAATTGTTCTCTCTCAAGGTTCCTCTTTGTTCTTGGTGCATTTCGATTTTAGGAATGGATTAAATAACATTGCATAAAGTTTGTTATCAACATTTCTCTGAAATGATTGTTTATGATGTTTTGATTTTTTACAGAGACATCAGACACATCTAGTTTGATTTTAGATTTAGATTTACACAGAAGTATATAATGGATCATTCTCAGTTTCATATGCAGGTTCCTCATGTTCCTTAGCAGTGCTTTATCCATTTTCTTTGACTGATCAGAAAAATGAAACTGCCAATTAATGACCATGTTGGACTTTGATAGTTATCATTAAGTGGGCTATTTAAGTTACATTGATGGACTATCATCCACTTGAAAACAATGTTTGTTATCACTTTTAAGCTCACTTGGTCAAAAAGACTAGTAAGCTTATGCTATGGTACAGTGTCAGGCATCCGTTGTCCATCAAATTTTTTACTAAAAATCACTATAAGTTGTGAATGAATAACAGAAGTTGACCAGATTTGGTCAGAAGCATCCTTGGTGAAGAAAACTAAGTTTGTTTATATATTGGTTCTTAGCTTTTAGGAGCCTCAGAGATGGGGCTTAAAAGGGGAAATTATGCAAGTTCCTTAAAATCCTATTCCTCTTACAGGAGTGATTTTTTATTTTGTCCAAAATTTGGTCTAAAGCATTCTTGGATGAAGGCAAATAACTTTTGTATAAATAGTGGGTCTCAGCCATCTTGAGGGAGGGGTGGGGCAAAATCAGGGAAATGGAGCATTTTTTTTTAAATGCTACTCTTTCTGTAGGAATGATTGGATTTTGCCCAAATTTGTTCTGAAGAATTCATGGATAGATTTTGTATCAAAATGGTAGGTGTTGGCCCCATGGGGTCGGAGGTGCAGGGCCAAAGAAGGGAAGTACAGCAAATTCTTTATTCTCCTGTAGGAATGATTGGACTTTGGGCAAATACTTGAAACAGTCTTGGCTGAAGTGAAATTAATTTTATGTAAAACAAGGCCCACTGGGGCATGTGGGTTAGGGTCCAGTAGGGGATATTATGCAATTTGAAAAAAAAAAAAAAAAAAAAATATGTGGAAATACTTCAATGTTTTCCCATTTTTGTCTGAAACATGCTTGGCAGAATGGAATTCAACAGTTGGTCTCAGACCCCTGGGGCAAGAGTGGTGAGGCACATAGGAATGCCTGAATGTTGTCTCACTGCAGTCTGAAGCATGCTTGGATAAAGGGGAATATATTGGAAATATAGTGCCCAAATAGTGAAATAGTGGAAATTCTCTAAAATTCTTTTTTAGTCCACCATCATCATCCGTCTGTCTGTTGTCCATCAGTCCATAAACAATATTTGTTATCGGTATTTCTTGAGAGTCCTGAATGGATCTTTCTCAAATTGCATATGTAAGTTCCCCTTGGTCCCTAGTTGTGCCTGTTTAATTTTGGAACTGATAAAAAAGACAAGATGGCTAACAGGCAGCCATCTTGGATTTTTTCAATGAAGTTTGTTATCGTTATTTTTTGAAAAGTAAGAGCTGGATCTCTCTAAAATTTGATATATCGTTTCCTTTTGGTCCCTAGTTGTGCCCATCTTATTTTGGGTCTGATGAGGAAAACAAAATGGCTGAAAGGTGGCCATCTTGGATTTTTACTTTGCAAGTTTGTTTCACTATTTCTTGACAATTTTTCTCTAGATCTTTCTCAAATTTCACATTCCAAGTTCCATTATGTCCCTAGTTATGCCTGTATGAGTTTGGGACTAATCAGAAAAACAAAATGTCTGACAGGCAGCCATCTTGGAAGTTGCCTAGTAAAGATTGATATTGGCATTTCTTAAGAAGTACTGAATGGATTCTCTCAAATATCCCAATAGATAAAATGTAAGTTCTTAAAAATCCTTCTTCCGTGTAAGGATATTGAAGATTTAGTCTGAGGCAATTTGTATGAATGATGTTTGACAATGAAAGTATACTCTCTCTATTTCATGATAAGTACAGGATGGATCTTTGTCAGATCTAATGTGTATGTTGCCCTTGTCCCTAGCCCAATATTTTAGTTCTTTGAGTCCACATAAACATTTGTATTGTGTTTATAAGGTTGGCTGTCTGTATGTCATGAACATTTTAAATATGATGTTTAGAAAGTAGTATAGACACTGTTCTTTTAACAGAATGCTGTGGAAAGTCCCATGGATGGTGTGAAGGAAGGTGAAGCACGAGATAGGACAATGGATCTTATCAGTAATCAGGTCTGTATACGAAAATACAGCATGTTCCATCAATGGCTCCAATATCAGATATATACCAGATTCAATTGCTCTTCATTGAATGGAAAGACCTTAAGGTGCTTTACCAAAATTGTACATTTCATGACTCCATGGTCTCAGATTTCCCCTAGAGGTAAAGTTTTCTATAGTTTATAATGGAAAATTATTTTTTAGAACACAATTTGTTTATTTTCCATTGGAAATAGTTCAAACTTGGGTAGAATTTTTACAATGGGGTGACAGTTTGTTAATATGCACATAATGATCCTGGCTGACCCCCAAGGGCTGATGGTTGGGACCAAGAAAAGGTCAAATAGACTGAAATTTCAAAAATCTTTTTCTCAATGCCCAGATAAGATAGAAGCAAATACTTTTCTGAGTGGAAGTGTCTTATAGTGCTTTACCAAAATTGTAAATTTCATGACCCCAGAGTTGCATATTTCCTCCTGGGGAAGGGGTAAAGTTTACTGCCTATTTCCTCCTGGGGAAGGGGTAAAGTTTACTGCATATTTCCCCCTGGGGAAGGGGTAAAGTTTACTACATATTTCCCCCTGGGGAAGGGGTAAAGTTTACTGCATATTTCCTCCTGGGGAAGGGGTAAAGTTTACTACATATTTCCCCCTGGGGAAGGGGTAAAGTTTACTGCATATTTCCTCCTGGGGAAGGGTTAAAGTTTACTACATATTTCCCCCTGGGGAAGGGGTAAAGTTTACTGCATATTTCCTCCTGGGTAAGGGGTGAAGTTTACTGCATATTTCCTCCTGGGTAAGGGGTAAAGTTTACTGCATATTTCCTCCTGGGGAAGAGGTGAAGTTTAATTACAGTAGTGATCTCCTACCCTCTGAGTGCAGGGCAAGTTTGATGAGCAAAGGATTATAAGATGTATGTCAAAGGATGTGATTCAGCTTGAAACCTTCAATATAGAGTTGAAAAAAAGTTTGAAACACATTCATTAAAATTTGTAATGCATGTGTTTTTTCTGTCACCAGCATGTCAAACGACTTCCCAGTGCAGACGTACCAGACCTGATGAGTCCTCAGACAACACATACACAAGCTGTCAATGTGGCACGCAAATGTATTCGCCTAAAGCTCAAGTGACATGCTGTCTGAAGAAGTTCTGAAGAATGTTTTTACTTCATTGTTGAAAATTTTGATATCAGAATGAATGTTTGGCAAATAGATGTCAAGGACTTTGTCAGTTTGAATTTCTGCTGCGAAATGTTTATGCTGGAATGCCTGGTGACTGATGGTGGAACAATTTATGTGTCAATGAACACGAGAAAAATAGAAAATGAAGCTATTAGAGTTCATGTCAAGCAAATAGAAATTATCAGTTACTGACAAAGGTTAAGCCAGATCTGTAATTAGGAGTCAGAGATAAGCAAGAAATTAAAGTCAGAAGGTCTAGTAAAAAGGAGTCAGGAAATCGTTAGAAATTAAAGTCAGAAGATCTACTTATTAGGAGTCAGGAAATAGCTAGAAATTAAAGTCAGAAGGTCTAGTAATTAGGAGTCAGGAAATAGCAAGAAATTACAGTCAGAAGGTCTAGTAATTAGGAGTCAGGAAATAGCTAGAAATTAAAGTCAGAAGATCTAGTAATGAAATGGCAAAAATAAAAAGGGTTCTTAAGTGCTTTTTGTTTTTTTTACACAAAAGGAAAGCAGGATCTGTGAGTACCCATATCTATCTCCTTCCATCACATCCCCAATCAGTGTGATCACTGTAACAATTCGATTTTTTCAGGGATTTTCATTTAACTTAATACAAAAGTCAACTACAAAATACCTCAGATGAGCTCATAATACAGGATTCAAAAGTCAAGGTCACATTTATTATTCATAGAAATTTGTGAAATATTACCATAGATACTGGTTAAAGGTTGTATTTTGCCTAGCTTTCCACACTGAATTAATTGTTGTATATATGAACTAGCTTCCATACATAAACTAAATGTTGAAAATGTGAGGGCTAGCTACCATCACATGTAAAACTAAATGTTGATATTGTGTGGGCTAGCTACCATCACATGTACAACTAAATGTTGATATTGTGTGGGCTAGCTACCATCACATGTAAAACTAAATGTTGATATTGTGTGGGCTAGCTACCATCACATGTAAAACTAAATGTTGATATTGTGTGGGCTAGCTACCATCACATGTAAAACTAAATGTTGATATTGTGAGGGCTAGCTACCATCACATGTAAAACTAAATGTTGATATTGTGTGGGCTAGCTACCATCAGGTGTCAAACTAAATGTTGATATTGTGTGTGGGCTAGCTACTGTCACATGTCAAACTAAATGTTGATATTGTGTGGGCTAGCTACCGTCACATGTGAAACTAAATGTTGATATTGTGAGGGCTAGCTACCATCACATGTAAAACTAAATGTTGATATTGTGTGGGCTAGCCATCACCATCATGGTGTCAAACTAAATGTTGATATTGTGTGAGGGCTAGCTACTGTCACATGTCAAACTAATTGTTGATATTGTGTGGGCTAGCTACCGTCACATGTAAAACTAAATGTTGATATTGTGAGGGCTAGCTACCATCACATGTAAAACTAAATGTTGATATTGTGTGGGCTAGCTACCATCACATGTAAAACTAAATGTTGATATTGTGAGGGCTAGCTACCATCACATGTAAAACTAAATGTTGATATTGTGTGGGCTAGCTACCATCAGGTGTCAAACTAAATGTTGATATTGTGTGAGGGCTAGCTACTGTCACATGTCAAACTAAATGTTGATATTGTGTGGGCTAGCTACCATCAGGTGTCAAACTAAATGTTGATATTGTGTGAGGGCTAGCTACTGTCACATGTCAAACTAAATGTTCATATTGTGTGGGCTAGCTACCATCACATGTCAAACTAAATGTTCATATTGTGTGGGCTAGCTACCGTCACATGTGAAACTAAATGTTGATATTGTGTGGGCTAGCTACCGTCACATGTGAAACTAAATGTTAATATTGTGTGGGCTAGCTACCATCACATGTGAAACTAAATGTTGATATTGTGTGGGCTAGCTACCATCACATGTCAAACTAAATGTTGATATTGTGTGGGCTAGCTACCGTCACATGTCAAACTAAATGTTGATATTGTGTGGGCTAGCTACCGTCAGGTGTCAAACTAAATGTTGATATTGTGTGAGGGCTAGCTACTGTCACATGTCAAACTAATTGTTGATATTGTGTGGGCTAGCTACCGTCACATGTAAAACTAAATGTTGATATTGTGTGGGCTAGCTACCGTCACATGTCAAACTAAATGTTCATATTGTGAGGGCTAGCTACCATCAGGTGTAAAACTAAAAAAATGATAGGGAAATAAGTTTTCGATGTATGAAGAGACCTTGTAAATAATCATACTTGATGTCTCTGTTGATTAATCAACATGGCACTCTTTCATCATTGAATCTTGGCTTGGACATTAATTTCATATTCTCCTAGATTTTAAAACAACATAAACACCATTTCTTGTAGGAGTAGCTTTGTTAATAGAAACTATTTTTTGCTGAAGATAACAAGTATCTAGTATTGATTTCCATTGTAAGGTTGACATGCTGCTGCACGCTATGTATAAAGGCTTGCGTTTCCTTAGTAGAGCTCTCTTGCTTTGTCTTAACTACACAGTCGTCTTCTGTGTAATGAACAATGATCAGCATATGTTTCTTGTATATTTTGTTAGCATACTGTAAAAAACCAGGCAGTGATGAAATACTGTCGTATCTCTTTTCAGTATAAATTGCTTAAGGGTTTAATAGACCTTTATTTTAATCCACAAATTCATGTACATTGTAATACAACCTTGTGTCATAGTTATGTTAACACTGATGTCACTACACATAACTTATAATTATACCATGTTGGTGTCATAGTGAAGTGATTACTGCCGTCAATACAAGATAATTTAACTCTAATTACACGTCATTACTATGTTTCATACTCATGTGAAAGTGTGTCAGTACAGGATAACTACTTGTAACTTAATGCATCTTTGTGATATAGGTGCATGTTCATGTTACCATTGTAGAACTATTATAGACTGGCTAAGGAGAGGCAATGTCAGACACTAATCTATTATAGACTGGCTAGGGAGGTACAGTAATCTATTATAGACTGGCTAGGGAGAGGTAATGTCAGAAACTAATCTATTATAGACTGGCTAGGGAGAGGTAATGTCAGAAACTAATCTATTATAGACTGGCTAGGGAGGTACAGTAATGTCAGAAACTAATCTATTATAGACTGGCTAGGGAGAGGTAATGTCAGAAACTAATCTATTATAGACTGGCTAGGGAGGTACAGTAATGTCAGAAACTAATCTATTATAGACTGGCTAGGGAGGTACAGTAATGTCAGAAACTAATCTATTATAGACAGAAACTAATCTATTATAGACTGGTTAGGGACTGGTTACAGTAATGTCAGAAACTAATCTATTATAGACTGGCTAGGGAGAGGTAATGTCAGAAACTAATCTATTATAGACTGGCTAGGGAGGTACAGTAATGTCAGAAACTAATCTATTATAGACTGGTTAGGGAGAGGTAATGTCAGAAACTAATCTATTATAGACTGGCTAGGGAGAGGTAATGTCAGAAACTAAGAGGTCTAAACAAAACTAATCTATTATAGACTGGCTAGGGAGGTACAGTAATGTCAGAAACTAATCTATTATAGACTGGCTAGGGAGAGGTAATGTCAGAAACTAATCTATTATAGTTAGAAACTAATCTATTATAGACTGGCTAGGGAGGGGTACAGTAATGTCAGAAACTAATCTATTATAGACTGGCTAGGGAGAGTAGAAACTAATCTATTATAGACTGGCTAAGAGGTGTCAGAAACTAATCTATTATAGACTGGCTAGGGAGGTACAGTAATGTCAGAAACTAATCTATTATAGACTGGCTAGGGAGAGGTAATGTCAGAAACTAATCTATTATAGACTGGCTAGGGAGAGGTAATGTCAGAGAAACTAATCTATTATAGACTGGCTAGGGAGAGGTAATGTCAGAAACTAATCTATTATAGACTGGCTAGGGAGAGGTACAGTAATGTTAGAAACTAATCTATTATAGAATGACTAGGGAGAGGTAATGTCAGAAACTAATCTATTATAGACTGGCTAGGGAGAGGTAATGTCAGAAACTAATCTATTATAGACTGGCTAGGGAGAGGTAATGTCTGGCTAGGGAGAGGTAATGTCATAGGGAGAGGTAATGTCAGAAACTATCTATTATAGACTGGCTAGGGAGAGAAACTAATCTATTATAGACTAATGTCAGTCAACTAATCTATTATAGACTGGCTAGGGAGAGGTAATGTCAGAAACTAATCTATTATACTGACTGGCTAATCTATTATAGACTGGCTAGGGAGAGGTAATGTCAGAAACTAATCTATTATAGACTGGCTAGGGAGGTACAGTAATGTCAGAAACTAATCTATTATAGACTGGTTAGGGAGAGGTAATGTCAGAAACTAATCTATTATAGACTGGCTAGGGAGAGGTAATGTCAGAAACTAATCTATTATAGACTGGCTAGGGAGAGGTAATGTCAGAAACTAATCTATTATAGACTGGCTAGGGAGAGGTAATGTCAGAAACTAATCTATTATAGACTGGCTAGGGAGAGGTAATGTCAGAAACTAATCTATTATAGACTGGCTAGGGAGAGGTAATGTCAGAAACTAATCTATTATAGACTTAAGAGGTAATGTCAGAAACTATCTATTATAGACTGGCTAGGGAGAGGTAATGTCATGACTGGCTAGGGAGAGGTAATGTCAGAAACTAATCTATTATAGACTGGCTAGGGAGAGGTACAGTAATGTTAGAAACTAATCTATTATAGAATGACCAGGGAGAGGTACAGTATTGTCAGAAACAATCATTAGTTTGGCTCATGTTTGCCTAGCAATTAAAATTTATCATATCATGAATTGATAATATCTCATCTTCATCAGTGTTTTTTGACCTTATTACATTTTTAGAGGGAACAAAATTGATTTATCCTCAGTGTGCTATTAGCTGTTTAGCTGATTCAGGAAAGAAAAATTTAATCCATTATCTACA